ACGGCCGAGGGTTGGCACAGCCACCACCGTCCCCCGGTGACAACCACACCGCGTCCCCCAGGCGGGTGACACCGGGGGTCCCCGGGCCAGGTGACACCAGGGTTGTCCCCAAGCTAGGCAGCCCCGGGACCCCCGCGAAGCAGAGGGCGGCAGCCACCAGCTCCTGGGTAATATTTTAATGTTATATTTGCAGCATAAATAAAAGGCACATTACATGTTTGGTACGAGGCGGCCGGGGGCTGGGACGGGCGGCCCCGGGCCCCCGCGGGGGCTGTGAGGACCCGCTCACAGGAGGCCGTGGGGACGGGGTCCCCGGGGGCCGCGGGAAGGGGTTACAGCTAGAAAAACCATTTCGTTGCGTAAGGAGCTGCGCATCCGTTCAGGAAGTCGATATATGTCTATATAGGTCTGTATATACTCATAGATATGTATTTTTTTTTATAGATACTACACCCTCGTGGTTACGCTTTTCGGGGGATTGCCTTTTTCTTGGCTTCTTCCGTTATCGATGGTCAAAGCTGGCCGTACAAAGCAGCTGGGGGGCCGGGGGCCGCGTCCCCGGGGACCACCAGGTCCCTCCGCCACCTCCGGGGCTGGGTTGGGGGCCGGGGAGCGTCCCCGCTGCCAGAGCTCGCCTGTGCACAAAACCGGGGGGGAACCACACAGAAACGGGTCCGCAAGTCTAAAAATGACAAAGTTCCTGGCTGAGCCATGGGAATCTGGAACCAAGGAGCCAGTTTGGGGGGAAAAGGCGGCACCGAACCCCCCCCCAGACCCCAATCCCAAGGGATCTGGAGGCTGGCGAGGAGGGAGAGGGCGAGCTCCCCGCCATCGTGAGCCCTCCCAGGGTTCGGCATTGCCCCGGGCCGGGGGGACGGCAGCCCTGGGCCGCGTTCTTCAGCCATTTGCTTCTATTCAACGTTACAGCGAAGCCGGATCGATAAAAACCCCGACTCCCCGCAGCCGATGCCACCGCTTGGGCTCTCCCAAACCCAGTCACGGCCTGAACGCAGCCCTTAAACCCTGAAAAGCTTTTCTGCGCTCCTGCGGGGAGCCCAGATATCACCCTCCGGCCCGCAGTCAGGCCAGGGAGGAGGGAAGGAGCTCTCTGATGATCTGACCACCGCTGCGGCAGGGCTGGGCGCCGGGGGAGCCGCGGGGCCGACACCGGCACTAAGCAGGGTCTGGGTTAAGGCATCGCAGCCGAGGCCCGAGGGCTGGCAGAGGAAAGTGCAGGTGCCCGGCGAGCTGCCGAGCGGAGCCGGGCGGCCGCCATCCGCCGGGAGCCTCTGAAAAGCCGGAGAAATCATCCTAGAGCAGAAATAATTTTTTTCTTTTGCCCCATCCAAAGATGTCCGCAAAGTCCTCAAGCAAGAGTGGAACCAGCATGGGAAGGAGGAGAAGAAAAAGCCACCTTTACCCTCGCCCATCCTCACGGGACCCGGCGTCACCAACCTCCCAGAAAAGCCGACTTCCCGACCAAAACCGGCCCCCAAAACCAAAGCCCGGCCTCGACAGCTGCCGCCACGCTGGCCTAGGGAAGAAACCGCCTCCGAGAGAGGCGATGAGGCAGGAGACGATGTGGGGCAGAAACCCAGCAGCCGCGACGGTCGCGCGGGCGCGCCTACACCCCCCACTGAAGCGCTCAGCGGGGATCTCCACACCTCGGAGCTCCAGGAGAGGAGACCACACTGATCCCGGCTTTTAATTACCGGAGCAGGCAGACGCATCCATGCGCAGCCGCTCCATCGGCGTGCAGGTGCTGGAAAAAGCGCTGGTGGAAAACGCGCTCCCTCCGTAGCCTCCTCTCCAGAGAGCCTGGAGTCATCCCTTACAAACCAAACCTGTCGCTCCCGCCAGAAAAGTCGCAGCCGCCCCGGCGTTCTGACGCTCAGCTCCTTCTGAGGTTTAAGACCGACTCTGCCGGGGAGGATGAACCTCGCCCATGCACCCCAAAGTGACATTTATGGCTTGGGCCATCCACCCACCGCACTGGGATGGGAGCGGAGAATTCCCCCGTTGCCCGAGGCCGGTGGCGGGGATGCGTTAGCCAAGGGCGACGCTGGGTTTTTCGGCTCCCTTCCTCACCGCGGGCTTGGGGAGGATTCCTGCTTCGCGCCACCCGTCTCCCTCCCTGCAAGCAGCGACGCTGTCGGCAAGAGAAAACGGGGACCTAAAACCTGCTCCGGGATCTGCTTTCGCAGCAGCGGTGCAGGAACTGGGGTAAAACACAGCCAAAGGGGAGACGGGAAAGCTGCAACCCTGTCGATGAAACAAAATCAGATGTTAAGGGATGGTCAAACAGTTGTTCCTGGATTGTTGCTGCCCAGGTTCGGAGCTTTACAACGGCGTTTTCATGGGTTTGGGGATTTTTCGAGACGCGAAGCACTCGCAGGCGGAGCGGAGGCGGGGAGATGCTGGAGCGGGGCAGCACCGACGGCATCAGGAGCACCGAGGCACGGAGGGATGGGGGGAAAAGCCCCACTCGCCACCGGCAAAGAACTACCTCGCGATGCCCGATGGTGCTACGAGGCTTCGAGGGTCGGAGCGGGCAGGGCAGCGCAAGCCCTTTCGTGGGACGCAGGCAAGTCGCAGGCAGGCTGGGCGATCTCGGCTCTCCGGTCACACAAAATTGGGTCACTTTTAGTCCCTAAGGGTAAAAACAAGGGGTCGGGGAAGGTGCTGCATTCGATGCCAACGTGCTCGCTGTCCTGGATTCGTAGCCTCTCCACTGTCACCGTCACTCCCTCCTCCCAACCCCACCAGCAAAGCCACCGGCTGCTCCTCGCCTCTGCCTCATCCACCAGACCCTGACGCCCCAAAGCAACCAAGGAACCAGCGGTGGGATCAGCCCAGAGCTCAATTCCTTCTTTCCTCTTCTTTCAACCAACACTTTTCCTCGACAGACGGGTTTTTTTCTGCAGAGCCGCACGCTCGGCGAGCCTAGGAGGAGCTGGTGAGCTGCCGGCGGACACAACCGCTGGCTCCCGCACGCTCTCCCAGCTCCGAGCACTACGCACCAAGGGACAGGGACCCAACGGCTGCCGGGTGACGAAGCAAATATGTTTACAAAACATTTTTGTCAAGACAAAGAAAAAGAGAGAGATTTGTTTCAAAGCCCCCTGAAGCAAAGCGAGCAGATCCGAAGACCAGAGCGAGCCCCTTTGCTGCAAGACGGGTCATTTTTACACCTTTCTGGGCAACACGAAGGAGCGCGGGGTTTTCCGCTGTTCCCCGTCGCAGCTCTACAACCCGCATCCAGCAGCAGCTCCAAGAGAAAGCAGAGCCGGGCTGGATCTCGTACCTCCTGCGAACCCTCTGCCTTAAATCCTGGCCCCCCAAAAAGGTCCTGATCCCCCGCGGTGCCTCACCTGGCTGAAACCCCTTTTTGTCCAGGTCGCACGGCTTTAAGACGCGCCCCAAACCCCCGTGTCCTCTTCTCACAGCTCGCTCTCGCTGCAGAAACACATACTGTGTCGGGATAGCAAGAGCAGAAACACCTGCCTACAGCCTCTGCGGAAAGAGCTTTACAGAAGCAGAAGGCAGGGCTGGGGGGGCTACGCAGGACCCGAACCAGACGTGCAAACTGCCGAGGCCAAAGTGACCCTGAGCACGCACAAGACGACTCTCGAGATGAGCAAGAGAAGCCATGAGAGCACGAGAGCAGCACCGCATCGAGACAAACCAAACCCGGGACAAACCAAACCCGGGAAACGCCGCGGTCGATACTGAAGTCGAGGAAAACCTGAAAAAGAGAGGAGGAAGACAGATCCCACCAACAGAAAAACTAAACCACTGAACCTCCCCATCCGTAATGGGATCCGGCTCCTTGCTCAGACTTTGCTTTGGGTTTTTGCTGTCCCTGGAAACCTTCCAAGTCTGGATAAGCCAAACGAAATCACTTTGACAAACAAACTTGGCTCGAAAGTGGCGAGTGCAACCTGAGGTGGGCGAGAGCTCGGGCGAGGAGGGACCTCCCGAGGAGGAGAGGAAGACCAAGGGCTGATGCAGCTCCGCGGACCTTACCCAGGTTCCTTCGAAGAGCCCGACCGCACGCAGCACCCCTGCCCATTTCCAAACTACCAACTCCAATCGCTTGCCCAGGGCCAGCGGCAGCCCCGGGAAGCACACGCAGACACGCACGCATGCTACGCCCGCCCGGCAAGGAAGCGGCCCCGATTCCAAGTGTCTTTCAACATCGAGAGGCTGGGTTTTGAACCTGCCCTATGAAACTGGAAGCTCTGCGAATCCTTCGTTCGCTCTGGGAAGCAACGGATGCTCCATCGCCGAGAGCGGAAGATAATCATGAAGAAGAGGTAAAAGACCAGGCAAATAGAAGCACGACTTCATGCTCCCTCCCCTTGGAACAAGCAACTAATTCGTGATTTAAGGCCACCATTATTAAGGTCATCGAGGTTATGTGTAAAGGAGATGATCCTTGGAAATGGAGGGGTTGGTTTGCTAAGGTGTACAGTGGAGTTGGGAGCAGATGATGAATTCTGGGACTCACATTATTACGGCCTGCTAGGCCGGCTCATCCTTTCCTGTACCTCCCAGAGCGCCTTTGCACCGGTCCCAGCCGACGCGGATCAGCACCAATTTACTGTAAGGAAGACTGAGAGCAGCCCCTCCGCTGCTAGGACAGACGGTACCTTTTCTCCAGCAACCACTGCGTCCCGTTACGAGCGCAGCACGCGAACGTCTGCAGCTCCCGGTGCGGCCCAAGTGACCAGGAACACGTGTGTCACCCCCTGGCCCCGTGTCCCCCTCTCCCGTTGGGCACAAACCGATTTATAGCGATTACGCTCCCATCGTGTCCAAAATCTGTCGTTGGCATCTTGGGAGCTCGTGTGTGACGAGACTAACCTCGATCCCTTTAACCTCAGAGCTCAAGGAGGCTTCTTGTGCGAAGGTGCAATGTTTCAGGTAGCTAGAGCAGAGGGGGGAGCAGATGCCTGGAAGCAGCATGCTGTTAAAAATAAAATACATTGACAGCACGACTAAATGTCACAGCCTCCCAAGAGCTATGTTTTCCTTTGCCGAGAGTGGAGGAGGAAGGAGGGGGGGCACTTGGAAGAGTGAAAGCGCCAAGGGGATCCACCAAGCATGGAGGTTTAGTGTTAATGTAACTGATACCTGAAAGCGAACCATTCAAGGTGCTTTTCAAAGTGAGGCTCTGTGTGTTCGGATGACTCTGCGAGTTGACGGATCGTCAACCGAAGGATCGAGAAAAGCGCTCAATCCGCGGCCGTCCTGCGGGGACGGGCGATGGCAGGGCAGCGGCTGGGGGCCAGGATCTGTACAGGCTATGCAGTGTAAGAAGCGCCATAGCTGCCCTTAACTCACTTGAAAAAAAGAAAAAATAAAATCCTTATCGGCCCCCACTCGTCAGGGACTTAGTTAGGGTCAGTCTCTCCGGCTGCGAGTTCGCGGTTAGCTCCATGTCACACGCCCAGGCTGTGACATCATCTGCCAGCAGACTGCGACTGTGGAGCCATGATGACGTGTGACGGTATCGGCATGCTCAGTTCTGTCCTTTGGCTCGCCATCTGAGTGAGCACCGAAGTGGCAACCGCTTCTGCCGCCGAGCGGACGCTGAGCCCGTTGGGGGAGGCCGTCACGGAGCTGTGCTGGATGACGGGAGCAGGGGAGCCGGTGGGCTCAGAGCTCTCCTTTGGGCTTTCTGCTTGACCAGAGAAGGGGAAGGGGATGGGGAAAAAAAAGAAGAAAACAAGGTTAGAGAGAGGCTGTGCATGTTGCTACCGGTAGTTAGCAGCGAGGCGATGGGAAAGGCGACTGCTTCTGCCTCGGAGGGCGTGCAGAAATTAGTCAGGTATTGACTTAACGCTCACCTTTCCAGCCAAAGCAGCCTGGAGCAGAGAGGCTGATCCCTACAGGAATCCCAGCTCCCCCCACCAGGCTGGGCCCCCCCTCAAGCAGCTGTTTGGCAAAAGCAAGTGAGGACTGGAAATAAAACTGATTAGAGTTGGGACAGAACGACCCACCGGGTCTGGCTGGCCCCGTCCCTCGGAGAAACACCACCGAATCTTACTGAATTCAGGCCAGGAAGGCATAAAGCGCAGGCTTCACACCAAGGATGGCAGACCCAGCGTAACCTTTATCGTAATAAATCTGTTTCCTCATTATAACAAATGAACTTCCCTACATGTTGTTTCCTGGCGTGGTACTTGGTTCAAGGCCATTTAGCCCAGAGACTGAACAGTTCCTTCAGAGTCCTCACCATCTGTTGGGTGAGCACACAGGAAAGTGCAACAGAAACCCTTCTGCAAAGGCTTTTTTTTTTTTTTTTTCCATTTTTTATATAAATTACCTGGTTTGCTCTTTATTGTTCTCTAGAACATTAAAATCAATTAGAGCCCATTACAAACTGTTTGCTTGCTCGATTTCGTTCGGTAACTTGAAGCAATATGATTGAAGGGCTGGGAGGCAAACAAAGGCAGAGACCTTCTTCCGTGCTTTTCTGAGCGACGCAGATTGGTTTCCAAAACTTTGGATTCTCTCCCACAAACAGCCCACTGCGCCCAGGCAGAGCTTCTAACACAGAGGATAATTTGTGACCTATCAAATGCCAAGGCGAGAGCAATCAGACCTCTCTCTTTGGGGGTATACACTCATTATCTACAGATGTCAGGAGGAAATTCCCTCCTGTGCACTTGGCTAGATGAATTACGGGTAAGATGCGGTCACCTTCCTTTAAAAGAGCAAAATAATGGCATGAGCTGGGATACTTCTTCCACGTCAAGAGGGTAAACCCCATGACACTGGGGGGGGGCGGGGCGGAGAAAAAAAAAACAGAAAAAAAAATCAGAGAAGACGTTTACAACCTTACTGGGCACCGGCAAAAGTATTTTAGGGCTCAGTTTTCTACCAGGTGCTTGAATATCGTACCCCTTTCCCAAACGGGTTTTACCTTCCCTTGTGAAACCTTGGCTTGGCCTTCGCCAGCGTATTGAAAGATGCGGCTAGCGCAGCAGATTTGAAAACTGACTTGGCGGTGAGCGAGAAGGTCGAGCAGAGCAATATAATAGTTTGGCATCCCAAAAAGGAGATTTACAAGGTATTACAAATAAAACAACCCAACTGTACATGAGGCAGCTGTAATTCCATCAAGGGAATCTGGCGTTTTTGTTTAAGGACCTGCTTAGTCACAAATCTCAATAATAAAAAAGGCAGCCGGGGAGGGGGGGCACGGGAAGGGAGGTGTGAATTTCATTTTTATTATTCAGATGTGTGATGAATTCCTATTATTGGAGTAGACAGACTGCGAGGAATAATAATAGGAACTGTAAACTTTGGAAGTTAACAGGAAAAATCATGTCGCCTCTCTGCATTATACGCGGAGCGAACACCTGTCTGCAAGGGCTGGGGGACAGCGAGGATTTTCACGACCACATTACTCAAGCTCTGAGTCACTGTAATGAGTGAAAATAAACTGGCTGTGCCAGGCCCCGTACAGCACGTATTCGTGCCTCGCCGCACAGGCGAGGAGCGTTTCAGAGACCCAGGAGGTGGGAAGCGGGAGGCGATCAGGACAGACAGTGCCTGCTTGCTTGGCTTTTGTTTCCTCCCCTTTCCTTCTCCTCCATCCATCCCTGCCTCTCGTCCTGTTGATCTAGGCAACGCTAGGGGACTCCAGCATCCTCCCAAAGTCTTTGCGCAAATTCCACAGCGTGGAATTGTTATTGCAGAGATGACATAAGAATCCAGACATAATGTTTAGCTCCCAGGTTGATTATAATGGAATAGGCAGCATTAAAAAAAAAAAAAAAAAAAAAAAAAAAAAAAAAAAGAAAGAAAAGAAGATAAAAAAAGAAGCCTTCTTGGTTCCAAACCTGAGCCAATTTGATGTGAATTGCAGAGACTGAGATATAGAGCCCCATGATGTCATTTATAGAGTCTGGCCTTTTCTGACTCCGGCTTCACTTTCAGAGCAGCAATAGTTTTTAACTTCAAAGAGAATATCAAGTGCTTGGCAAGCTGCCTGGGAGCGGGTGGAGAGACGCTGGCCTGCACTCCAGGGAGAAGCGGAGATATGGATCGCTGTCAAATATTTCACACCACAGAGACGCGGAGGGAGATGCACTACCTCCTTCCCTCGGTGCTTTCGCACCGCGATTGCCCTCGCTGCCTGGTTGCAAGATCTTATAAACCACGCTAAAGAGCCAATTCGCAGTGCAAATCTGCAGGTCCAGCCTGGGTGATCCTCCCCACTGTGGAGGCTGTGGAGCCGTTATCAGCAGAAGACACAGGACCAAGGTCTGTCCTTGTCCTGCCAGGTGCAGTCGCTGAGGGTGATGGAGCAGAGACTAAGAATGAAAACTCCGTTCCTTTACGTTTTACTCAGGTTTCATCTGCTTAGACCTACTTAAAGGGTAGTAAGGACCAGCAAAAGTTCATCACTCACCCAGATAGCCCTGTGTTTTCTTCTGTAGTGCAGTGACGGGGCAGTCCTTGTGAGCCAGCAGGAGCTGTTTAAGTTGAGCAACTTCGTTCCTCAGTAGCGTAACTTCATTCTGAGATTGAAAAGCAAACACGCACGTATGCATCACTCATGCTCTTGACAGCAGCCTCTAGCAACAGCAGGACGTTAATTTATGTGCCCTGCAAACTTACAATTTGTTGTCTAATTTGAGATGCCTCTGGCACAAGAATACCAAACAAAGTTTCCGGGTTTGGGGAATGCAGACACGGACTGCAGCATTTCCCTCCAGCAGCCCCCACCGCTGCCTGGAAAGCCCCTTGCTGTGTTAATCACCTAATCCTGGACACAGATTTGCCTGAGCCCTCCTGCTAATGCCAACTGCTTGAGTCAGACGCTCCGGCGTGCCGTTGGCTCCGAAGGAAAACTAAACGGAGCGAGAAGCTGAGTGTACAACCAGCTAAGCCCACGCCAGGCTGTGGGGAACATCAGAGCTCCTCCAAGCTCTTGGTACCTCTGTGAGCTTCTTCCGTAAACCAGGCCTACGCCCCTGAAAACTTTGTGCAGCATATTGTTCCTCTATTGAAATGTTTGGAGAAACAGCTGAAACCCAGTCAATTGTATTTCAAAACTGCCTGAGGAAACAGTTTCTATAATTATCTTGGGAAGAGAATAAAAATACCATGATCAGTGCTATTGAAAAAAAATCCCACCGCATGAGCCACTAGCCAGCAGCGAAAGAAAAAGCCCAGAACGGACACCAGTTCAGTCTTTGCAGACCCTTCAATCCTTGGCCAACGCTCCTTGAGCTACTGCCGTGATGGGCAGAGGCAGAGCCCTTTCGAGGGGGACAGGGAGAGAAACAAGAGCACTGAAGTGCTCTTCCCCCATGGCCTGCTCAAGGCAGAGCAGCAGGATGGAAAGCAGGGAGTGAAATCTAGGCACAGAGGCAGCAATCCTGCTCCAGAGAGCAGCGTCCAAATGCACGTTGTCTCGCAGCATGGGGAAGATGTTCCCTCCGGAGCGATGGTCCTAACGCTGGCAAAGGGCTGTGCTCTGCCTCCACGGTTACATACTCACGCTCAGCTGGATGTTCTGGGTCGTGAGCTCCTCGGCTTTCTTTTCCAAGGAAGACACCCAGAGCTTGCGTTTCTGACGGCACCGGGACGCGGCAGCCCGGTTCCGCTCCAGAAACCGCTGCCGGCGCTCATCCGGGTCTTCGTCAACCGTGCGTCTCCGTCGCCCGCCGGTGCTGGGGGTGGGCTGGGCAGGGGAAACCTGCAGATGGGGCACAGGAAAGAGATGCTGAAAAGAAGCTCTGGGGCAGGCAAGCAGACACACACCAGCGTAAACCAGGGTTTGGCAGAGGAGATGCCAGCTCATGCGCCTGGGGCAAAAAGGGATTTGCTTTTGCAGAGCAGCCAGGACCGCACACCACGGGGCCGGAGCGGGGGCAGCCCTGGCTGGGACAAAGTCCCTTTCACAGGCGTTTCTGGCAGCCCTTCCCCAGCTGAGCCTGAAGTGCCCTGCAGACTTCAGGCGTGAATCCACACGGACTCTCCGAGATCCTGAACCCGGTGAACGTGTGAATGTCAGGGGAATTGGTAAAATCCCAAACTTGTACAGTCAGCTAATGGCAGTAACTGACAGCAGAAGCTTCCTCCCCTCCATGACGAGGAGCTAACATGGTAAATGACCACGGGCAGCACAGAGAAAACGCCTTCCTTTTAATTTCACTTAAGAGACTTTAAAAAGCACTTCACACTGCAATGACTTAGGAGATTCCCACACAGCCAGCAACCACATATCAGCTGACAGAGGGTAACTTCCAGCTGCAGGGCTGGGAGCGCTTGATCCCGCTCTGACGCATGTAACCACGCATGGTCAAAGCGCCGTCTCCATTTGGGTTCAGTAACTCCATTTGGGTTCAGTAAATCACTGGCAGAGCACAAATTACAGTTTCTGAGTGGGTAATCTGCTTTAAAAATTAATTTGGGTTAAATTTTCCCTGAATGTCTTCAGCTAAACAAGCTCTCAGAGGCAACTGGTACAAAAAGATTTCGTAACGCCGCACATTTCCCAGTTTTAATTTGGGAGAACAAAGGAAAAGTCAGTGAGGGCAAACAAGTCCCGCAGACACAGCCTTGCCGGCGCTTCTGCGAGGGCTCTGTAATTACACTGCCACAATCGGGGAGTGCAGTTACACTCCGGTACTCGCTGTCAGGCAGCATATGGATATTAAACTTTTGGAAGCCTATCTAACTGACGGAGCAGGTGGCGATCCTGATGGAAGGCTGGCATTTGGTTAGCTGGCAGGAGCTGGTGGAGTTGATTGCCTAAGAGGGGAGCGTTTAACCCCAGTAATTGAGCAGGGAGAAGAGAGCGAAATATTCTTTCGGAACTCCAGACCTTGTCAAGCAAATTAACATGTTGCTGAAGTTTTCTGCCTGGTGGTGCTTGAGAACATTAGTGCTGAAACGGCACTGAAAAAACAAGGTTTTTAACCCATTCTGCAAACCAGGAAGCTGCAAGATTTTCCTCCTCTTTGCCCGAGGCCCAGAAACCCGCAGCACCTCCAGCCCAGCCTCGCAGGCTAAGCAGCAGCAGACCTGTGGTTGAGCTGGGGAAGGGGCGTCAGGGTGCTGGACAAGGATCTGACTCTGCTCTGGACGTGCGGTCACCATCGTGCTGGCTGAGCCCACCACCAAGTTGCTGCCATTCAGTGAGGAAGATGCCGTCAAGCTGGCCTTCAGCCTCTGTTAAAGGAGAAAAAAGGACATCAGTGGACTTGTTCTCCATGCTGTTAAGGCTTTAACCAGCTCCTCTGTCATCCAAGGAGACAGGCCGTGGGGAAACAGGCTCTTCAGGGACCGCGGCTGATTCAAATCCAACTGCAAGCCATCACCATCTGGCCTACACAAAGACAGACAGCGGCTTCCAACTTAGGCCCAAGCGGACAGGTGTCCGCATCCCAAAATTGCTACTGCAACTGGCACCGGTCCCCTCCCCAGCTGGCAGGCTCTGCAGAAAGACCACGGACTGAACAGGCTGCAGAGCCCAACTGTCCTTGAGCACCCACAGAGGGGTCCTTCTGGGGTGGAGAAGGACCTACGTGTGATCAAGACCGTGTCTTCCAAGTTCCTCCTCTGGGCAGCCAGGCACAGGCCAGCAGGGCAGGGTGGCTTTTCATGCCTCAAGAGTTTAAGATCTCTCACCCCACTTGTAGCTCTGATCTGCCCATGAATCCTGCAGACACCTGAGCAGGGTGCAATGGCAGCAGTGACAACGCACCCACAAAGGTGAGCGGCGCCGCTGGAAGAGGTGGGTTTGCAAACGTCTCCACCCCGTCGCAGCCAAAAAGACAGGGGGTTTCGCTGCAATTTGTCTGCAAACTTAGGTTTGCTTCCCCCCACTGTGTGCACCCAGTTTGAGTCACGAAGAGCCAGGAGAGGAAAATTCTTTCGTAAGCTTTTATGTTAAAGAGGTCTACATGAAAACCATTACCAGGATCCTTGGATTACAGCACAACATCCCTTCTCTTGGCTCTGCCTTCCTCAAGCCCACCTCCAACCCATCTGTTATCTTGGAACTAGAAGCGCCAGCTTTACAAAACAGCCGCGTTTAGGATGGGGCTGAGGTTTGTCTTGACAATAGCGCGCCGGCTCTGCCTGCCAGAGCTGCAGCGCTGATTAGTCTAATATTCCTGGTGGCATTTGTAACACCTGCTCTCGGTGTGGGGCGGCGCCTCGATGGCTGCGCAGGATTTTGGAGAAGCAGTGGGTCTTTGCGAAGGCTGCAGGGAAAAAGCCTCCAGACGGAGTCTCTTCTGGAGGAGCTAGTGAAGGCTTAGGGACAACACCGTGGATGTGACACCCTTCCCAGCATGTATTTGGACACTTACCATTTTGGCTTCGGAGTGCACTGGAAGTCCTGATGGTGAAATGGACCCGCTGCTGTTGATGGGCGGCCCGGGAATACCGGGAATGTTCGGGACCATGGACATCGGCCGAGCCAGCTATTGGGGAGGAAGCAACACATGGGTTTTGGAAGCTGAGGTGCTTTCGCAAGCGCGCTCCACGAAGCGGCTCTGTAATAATTCCCCGACCAAGCACATTTATAAATCTTGACAAACGTTCAGCGTTTAACTACTGCCATCAATTATGCCTGCTGTCACTGAAGGCCAGCAGCCACTCCTTTGGTGGCCACGGTGGCTGTTTCGGAATCACCTAGCCATACCAGCCGAGCGCTGAGGACAGGGAGGAGGGCAGCCCTAAATCCCCCCTCCTTCCCTTCCCTCCCAGAGGGCTTTTCCCCACCAGTAGAGGAGACCAGATGGAGAGGAAGGGTAGGAGATCCCCTCTGGTTCTCTGCCCGGCTCTATCGCAAAGCTGCCGCAACACCAAGGGTAAGTCACAGCATCCCCTCCTAAACACGGAGAGCTTTCTCCCTCACCAAAGAGGGGAAAAACTAGGATTTGTGCTTGCTTTTATAGGCCGCTCAGGTACGCTGTTGCAAAGCACTACAAATGCAAGTCGTGTTTCAAACGATCAGGAAGGTACGAAGACCTTTCCGTGCCTCCAAGCTATGCCGAGCTGCCTGCAGTCTGCCTACTTTGACGTCAACATTCCTGTTACCTGAGGCAGAAGGTTTTGGCCGTTACTCACTCAAAACCCAAAAGACATGCCCAGCAGGACAGACAGGATTCACGCGAGCTGCTTGGTCGGAAGCTGAAGCGCTCGGAAGACGTACAAGCCACCCACCATGCAAATCTGCTCGTGAGTCTGCACCACGGCAAATTCTCCGTATGCAAAAAGCACAACCCGCAAGGCTGATATTCAAACAGCTCTTTAGCACACTGGCAAGGTTAGGGTGGCTTTCCTGGACTGCAAAGACCAACATGTTCTCTGCAAGCTCGACTGGTTTCAATTGAGGCACGCTGTTCCAAATGGAAGCAGCTAATCAGGGATCCTACAGTTCCCAGCCCTGGATCAATGGCATGAGCCATCTGTCCAGGCAAGGCTTTATTTTTTTCCAGACTTATTGCCCTCTAGTGTGATCGACATGTTATTACTACCTTGCCAGAGCTGGGCCCCCTCCTCCTCCTCCTCTTCCAGTCGTATCTTGCACAGAGGGGGAGATATATTTTAATTTTTACAAAATGGAAGTGTCTGCATATATTTGGCAGGGGAAAAACACAGTCCCCTCCTCTGCCGCGCGGAGCTGTGTTGGAAGTTTCTCTCACCGATATAACAGAAGGCATCTGTACGGGAGGGCCTGGGAGGACGGGCATGGTCTGTCCGTTTGCAAGCTGCACGACAAGAGGAAGGGAACCTGTGGGAGACCTGGAGAAACAACAATTCAAGTTCTCATGGATTATTTCAAGTTTATGCTGACCCGGCAGCCCCACGAGCTCAAGGGCAGAAGGGCGAATTAATTCTGGTTAGTGGATTTGGGCTCAGTTTCCCATTTCTGAACGGCACGTTCTGAAAGGGTAGGTGCAAAGCCTAGCTGGGCACGTGTTAAGGTAACTCAGCCTCCCGCACGCTCACGGCACGGCAGCCAGCACGTGCCAACGTCACGCCGAGGTGACCCAGGCTGCCGCTCCTCGCTCGGGGCTGGCAGCGGCGCTGATGGCCAGCGTTACGATGCGCCCTGGTTAACTCCTGGGCATACGCCGGCCGGCCAAAACACCATGGCTGCCAAAGCCCCGAGACACGATGCCCACCTGAACAGACAGAGAAGCACATCCAGGGGCTGCTGCAGCTCCTCCTCGGGGAGATTAAAAGTGCCCTCCCGGGCTGAGCCTGGCTCTGGGCAGATGGGGGGCCTGGGCAGCTGCTCCTGCCTACCAGTAACTTCTTGGCCTGTGAGCCACTTCTGCTGAGCTCCCACGGGAGGGTTCGTAAGGATTTAGGTTTCCATTAACAAGCGCTTCTGACTCCAGAGAAAACCTCCTAAATATGGAGTCGATGCAGGGCTGGCTTGTGTCTGCCCAGACAATGGCTCCGGGAGACGGGGAACGGCCCCGCTCACTGCAGGCTGGGGGAGGCGGTGATTGCGCCGGAGCCTAATTGTGACAAATTAAAAATACCAAGAACTTTTTCCATTGCAGATCACTTTGCAGCGAAAGGCGGTGTTTCTGCATGTGGTGACAAACAGGCACACACATCCCTGCCTCCATTTCGAAGTGTCACAAACCTCACCGTGCTCCGGCTCTGACCATCTGGATTCAGCCTTTCTAGGAGAGCGGAGGAAAAGCCAGAGCTGATCTGCTCCGGCCGATGGGGAAAGCAAGGAAACCATCCCTGCCAGCAAGGGCTGATCTCCTGCTCCTTCTCAGCTTGTGACAGCGCAGCAAGGAGCCGAATGGAGGCAGAGACGAGCCGGGAAGAGAAGAGCAGAGCTGCTGGGAGCCTGACTTTGGGGGAGGGAGAAAAAAAATTTGCTGCTGCCTCCTCTGCTGAGCTCAGGGAAGGGGACCGAGGAGGCTGGGCTGCCTGGGATCCTCGGAGGAAGCCGCGCTGGCATGGAGTAATGGCAGGGTGGGGAGAAGCAGGGGATGTGGGTCAGAGGGGGGAGTTCATCGTGCCAATAACTCAGGCTGGAATTTTTAAGGCTGCCTTGGGAACGCGAACGCTCGACTCTCATTCATTTCTATTGGGCATCCCAAATCCTCCAGGCTGCTTTGAAAATCCCAGCCTAACAAGCCGAGTTACAGGGAGGTCACAGCCTCCCCTCCATCTCTGTCACGCTGACAGCCCCACCACAACCGCAGTGGCCCTAACGCAGGGACCCTCGTTAAAGCTGCAGCCCAACCTCTCCGTAGAACGCGTTCAACTCTCATGCCCTAGGCGGGATCTACCCCCGTAGGCTGCAAAGGGCACATAAAATCATATTAAAGTCTAGCTTACTAGACTTTCTGATTTTTTCATGTCTTCAAGCGCAAGGGGACTCGGTTCCAAACAGCCCCGCGTGTCTCTGCCTGTGCGGGGTTACAGGAGGAATATAATGTCCTTTCAAAACCCCAGGACAATCACTTAACCCCTTAATGCCTCAAGACAGGATTTAAAACTTTCCGTCAGGAAGTCTGGATTGATGGTGCCAGTGGGTCAAAGCAAAAACACACACGAAAATATGAACTGACAGCCAAAAAGAATGGCCTGGTTAATGTAAGGAGCCAGCCTCAAACAAGGGTAATTAGAAAGAGGCCAGGACCACAGCGAAAAAGAAGCATCCTGACACCAAAGAATAGAAGTGGGGGTAAATATACATCTCCTGAGGGCTCACTGTAATGCGTTTCCTGCATCCTTCAGGCTCCTTCCTTTTATGTGCAAGGCCAGAGCTACCTAACGGTGTGGCAGGCTCATAACCACCGCAGCGAGTGCTCTGGAGCCTCGGATCCAGACTGTTAAAGGGGCAAAAAGGAGCAGGTCATTAGATCTGCTGAAACAAACAGCTCCCGAGGCAGAAGCTGACCATGAAGGAGGCCAGCAGGTTGCAGAAGAGGTTACACTTCAGAGGCAACAGCTGTCTGAGAAAATCCCAAAGCCATTAAAGATCCAGACAATTTCCTACCATCGGTTTAGCTGAGCTCTCTCCACCGCATCAGGCTGCAAAAGCAACTTGGGAGTCCCCAGTCAGGCCACGCTCCCATCGTAGACAGCGAGTGGCATGTCAACGTGTTTGGGGATTGGGTTTAATTTCTCCCCGCGGTGAGTTTTGCCTCGTTTCGTTACACTGCAACAATTAGTTCCTGCTTTCTGCACTTACACCCCATTCTGCTTTCGTAGACAGTGCAGCAACGAGGCCCTTATGCCCAAGCAGCCGCAGCCGGAATCGCGGCACCTCGGTTGTTCCGACAATCAAGGAACTTATTTAGGTACCTAATTACTGCCCAGGAAGCCTGACGGTACGGGAGAAAAACCTCAGCGCACGTGTCCCTCCTCCGCACTTACCCAAGCTGTCTGTTGGAAGGGGGAGCCTGGGTAATGACAGAGGTTGGGGAAGGCAGCGTAGGGTGGAGCGGGTCATAACCCAAGTGTAGTGGCAGCGAGCCTGGCCGCACGATGGTTGGAGTAGGCGTAGAAATGATTACAGGCTTGGAGGTGATCTCCTGAAGAGGCTCAACAGACAAAAGGAGAGACGCTGTTACTTATTAGCTTCATAATCACCTGGCTGTCTCTTCCTTCCGACGGCTTAAAAGCAATTTTGTGAAAATTAAGGCACCTTCGCTGCAGAAACTGAGGCATGGAGGGGAGCGACTTACCCAAAGCCACACTGATTTGATACCAGTGCAGGGAAGGGGGCACAAATGTCAGACTCCTGCTGCCTGCAGCAGCCACTGGGAAATAATCCCCCTCTCCAAATTACGGCTCCAGCCCCAGCCAGCGTCTCTAGAGTGGGAAGTTACTCAGATGGAGACTGTGTCACCCAGACTAATCTGCTCTGAATCACCAGCCAGCTCCCCCAGGACACAGGGAGCCGGTCTCGGAGAAGATGCGTTACTTGTTTGGCACTTTTGCCTTGCCAGAAAAGCATTCCCAGGGTGAACAGCAAGGCTTTCTGCATTAGTCAAATCCATGCGGAGACTTAAGGGCAGCAAATGTGTATTTTAGCGAATAAGCTTTTCTCTTTCTTTCCAAAATGAGGGGAACCTCACAAGCCCAAATCAGGCCTTGGCACCCAAGTGGAGAAAAAGCTTCTTCTCATCCAGAGAAGGAGAGACCAACATCTCCACAGGGCATAGTCAGGGAGACCTACCTTCTCCTTGTTCTGTGGCGACTGCGGGTTAGATGCAGGGCTGTCTGGCGGAGAAGAGTCCACCTCCACCGGCTCTTCCTCCTTTATCTTGATGTCCGGGGTGGATGGCAGAGACATGTCCAGGGCTCCAGCACTCTACGGGAAAACCAGCCACGGATTGAAAGGACAATTAGCTCATATTGTTTGTGAAACATTCGGCTGCTCCCAGAGGAAGAGCTACAGCTCTGAGTTCTTGCCAAATTATTATTATTTATTTGTACTGAAGTAGCATCTGGGAGCCCGAGGCGGAGAGCGGTGCCGCGCCGCGCTGGCCCCATCCAAACAGAGACGGAGGCCTAGGAAAGATGGTCTCTGCCCCAGATGGCACCATTTTGTGGTTTCTCAGTAACACACACCAATTCTTTCCATGGGTTAGATTTTGGTTTGGTTTTTTTTTTTTTTTTTCATAAAAGGGCTTTGCTAAGGAGAACAGGTAACAAAGCCAAATGCCTGCGAGTTACAGAAGGCACTTTCATTCACAGAAGAGCTGTAAAGCATTGTATAAATCAGCCTGAATTATTTTATTACCCGATTATCAAAAGCAAACAAAGAGCCATGCAAGTTATTAAATATCTATGAGCGCCCCATTAAAATAAAACCCAACCATATGCCTGAACCTGGCAACTTGCCACCACCCTGGGTTCCAGCAGTGCCACGTGCCCCATTTTAACCAGTTAATGACTTGCTGGGGATGGGAAAAGGGCAGGGTGACAACAAGGGAGGGGGACTAAACTGCGCGGCCACCTCTCCCCTCCCCAGACCTGGAGGAAGAGAAGACCTGGGAGAAGATGGCGTACGGGAGCACCGGAGAAACATGCAATGGAGCGAGACACCGACTGCAGGACGCTGCATTCAGCTGGGCTCCAACAGACCTCGCAAATCACCCGGTCCCTCCCTCTGTCCGGGGCAGGAGAAACTCTCCCTAAATCAGTCCTGACGGCTGTTTGTCCAACCTGGTCTCCCTCCCTCCACAATCAATCCCGGCGCTTTCCTTCCCTCGCCCGACTGCTGGCAGTTCGTCCTAGCATCTAACCTAAACCTCCTCCTTTGCTGCATTTTAAGTCCCCTCAAGGGAGGGAAAATTGCGGCAAGAGGGTAAATCCGGGCATCTACAGATGCTCTCGAGTGGGGTGCGGCTCCAACGCCTCCGCTCTGCACTGATTTACGCAGGAGCTTTGCTTGCGGTACGTGCAGTAACCATTTACCTGCCCTCTTAAGCAGAGATGTTGCACTGGGAATCACAAAGGAGAAAGGATTAACATGCAGGAAAGTTTCAAACCACTTAAAGTGCCTCCAGGGAAGCTCCTGCTGTGCCTATGGTTTTAATTAACATGCTGGTGTGGAGACCACCCTTGGAACTGGAGGACAAAACACAACAGCAGCAACTGGGCTCAATGCGGCCAAATGTTGAAAGCATCTCAGAAATGCAGCAGGCAGCTCTGGCCAGGTTCGGTGAGTGACAAGCCATCTGGGCCTGGGGACCTCGCCTCTGCAGAGATTTTCTAGGAGGGATAAATGCTTTCCCAAACGCCTGAAACCACCCCAAGCTTCACGCCGCCCCATTCGCCTGGCTGCCGGCAGAAATATTTAGACTGCAGTCATCCTAAGGCAAAAAATGAAAACATCGAACAGCCTAAGGATCTTAGCTGCAGCTATTAGGTAGCGCAGCCCAGGAGATGGGTGGTCTTACATATAAAACAACTGGCTAGACTGTGGGCTGCTCAACCATTTATATGTGAAACCGCAAACGAAAAGCTACCTTCTCCCAGCGCTCAGGGTCTGGGCTGCAGAGAACAAAAGGCAGGGAATTCAGAGCATAAAATGCCACGCAGCCCCGACAAGGGCCTGCAGCATACCAATGAGAGAGATCAATTTATGCTTTAAAGAGCCCTGTTATTAGGAGAGCGGGTGAAAGACAGTTTTCAGTTTTAATTCTGAATTCCTCCGTTCCCCATCTCGGTGAAGATTTACGCGGCTGTGCTCCTGCAGTTTATTTCCGAGCAGCGCCGCTGACTGTGAGCGTATGTACATACATATATCAATTTAGTAAATGTATGTGCCAGTCTAAGAGCCCAATACGCATCTGCTGCTTCTCAGAGCCTGCAAAGGGGGGGAGAAATGTCCTTAATTAGCTGCTATCTGACGAGATCCCGTTGTCCTTCAGACCCTTGCGCTCCTGAGGTTGGCAGGGGCAGCCTGAATCGATGCCGCTTGCATATGAGGGAGCTCTTTGTTAGAAAAAGCCTCACTCCTCCACAGAGACCCTCTCTCTATTTGCACCTACGGTGACACCCTTCAAATGCTAAAGGCACACGGCTGAGCTCCGTCCCTTCCCTGCACCTTAAAGGCACCATCGTTACAGATCTTGATCCCCAAGGAGGCTCTGAGTGAATTTTTGCTCAGATCCTGAACACTTCACAGAGTCCTGCTCTTTTCCTGCATCTCCTTCCCAAGGTGCGAGGTATTTTGGGTACTGCCTTTTTTTTTTTTTTTTTTTTCCTTTTTTGAAGTGAAAAGCCAAAGGAATAATAAGCCATTAAAATCCGCTCTCACCAGGCCTCGGATTGCAGGATAGCCAGCCAAAGTCACCCCAGTTAAAAAAATAAAGTCCCATGTAAGCCAGCATATTAAATCCGAGCCCACACTTAGTTACCCTACAACATGTGCCTTTCATCAGAACGGCACCGTCCCCCCGCCAGCCCCCACAATATGCACCCGGCTCAGTTTTACGGCAACGGTGGCCTTTGCCTCTTGCCTTTTTCTCGTCATCCTCCGCAGCTTTCTTGAACTCGTGCTCAAAGGAGCTGGCCAGTTCATTGAAGAGTCCCACTTCTTCGCAGTTCTTCAAGAACCTAGTTGGGGTCGGAGTCTGATCTGTTTGGGTTGTAACACCAAGCACGGGTTAAAGAGAGGCTAGAGAATTCATTTGAACCACCTCGGCCCTCTCCGGGGACCCCTAGCAAATGTGGCCTCTGTTTTGTGAAAGTCCGGATGCTTTTCCGCTGTGTGTCGTGTTTGCAAAGCAATTGACAAGTCAGAAAGGGGAAAATAATTTCATGTTGATTTTGTTTCTCTGGTAAACGCTGCTTAAAAAAAAAAATAATCATTGCAGTGATTTCTGTGAAATTCCTGCCTTTGGGTCGTGCCCTGTCCCTCCCACCCCAGGGTTTTGCTTGTCCTCATCTGAATTGCTGCTGCAAGGAAGGAAAAGAGTGGGGTTTGATCTCCCTGCAACAGCAGATCTCAAAAATACGGAGTGATGCGAGGGGAAACGGCTGATCGGAGCAGCTCCACTGCTGATGTGGAACAGAGCCGGGCAGAGTCGCTTCCCTCCCTGCGCCGGCTCCGTACATTAATACGCATCCTAGGACAGACGGCTACGTGGGAGTGCTAATAATTACCACCACTGTCCAAAGCAATCCCTCTGGGGCCCGTTTTCCACCATATTAACACGTTGAGTCATGATCTCTCTGGCCATCACCCAGGCTATAAAGCAGAAAGAAATCTCCCTGCTCCCAGCGAGCCTCGTTTTTCTGTGTGACGTTAGGTCAGGAGTCCAGGTACTAGTGGGAGCCCGGCACGAGCACATTACACCAAAAGAATCCATCTGGCAGAAAACTACATAGATTTTTAAGCACAAAGGGGATCCCTGGGATAGTTTAGCCTGACCTCCTGCATAAAACATCGGCTGTTTGGCACGGATGCTCCCCGTTCGAGCGGAGTAGCTGTGCTCGAGCTGAAGTGTCTACGGAAAGCATCCCATTTGATTTCAAACCGGCCAGTGGTGGAGAGTCTCCCGCAGCCTTCGGGAAGCAAATCCGGCGATTACTTCGCCTTGCTGTCGCAGAACTACACTTTATTTCCAGCCCGACTTCAAACCCTACCTATTGGTTTTGTTAATAAAGCAAAGGCCTCCTCTGAGCACACTTTGGTTCCTCCCAAATCTCTCTTCATTAAACCAAGAAACTTTGTCAACTAAAGATCTCAGCAGGAGGCTGTTTTTCCAGTGCTTTAATGGCTCTCAGGGCTCTTTTCGGACCATTCCCCATTTAGCAATGTCCTTCCAAGCCACGCACGCCAGCCCGGGGCCCAAATCTCCAGCAGAAGTTTTCACAATGCCACAAAGCAAAGCCGTATAACCTCTCTCGTCCTACCCTTCCCCAGTTCGTATCTCCAGGAACTGCAGCAGCTCTTCTGCCCACAGCATCCCCCCAGAAGTGCACGTTCCCATTTAAATAAGTCTCTCTGCTGCCAGCTATAACCGGCAGAGAGAGAACAATTCTTTACGACTCTCTTTAGCTTAACCGTGGAGTTACGGCAAGAGATGTACGCTGAATCCTCCTGCTCATTAACACACGGGCTGCTGCCCTGGCCTCAGCACAAAGCAAGAGGGAGGGAGAGAACGAACCCAGAGACAAAATGGTGGCTTAAAAAAAAAAAAAAAAAAATAAAAGGACACTAGGAATGTAGGGCAATAACGCCCTAGATCTCACTGCTCAAAGCCAGCACGCTTTATAGCCCTCACAAACCCCCCGGCAGCTCTATCTGCCATCAAGAGCTCAGCCAGGGAAAGCCTGTGTTAAACAGGCTGGTCTTGCACTGACCACAGCTAAATAAGTTTGGGGTTTTTTTTGCTTTGCGGTTTAGCCCGGAGCAACCCACTGAGCATCAGCCCAGAGGAGCTGGGAGAGGGGGCTAGACCCGCCCTCGCTGCTGTTCCTTGTGCTAAAACTGAAGCGTTTCATCCCACCCACGGTTTTACCCGTGAGAGTTTGTGTGCAGGAGGAGTACAGACCTCTGGGAGCTGCGAAGACGGGGGCTTTTCATGCTGCATCCCTGTCAGAGCAAGTGGGACTTCGGCTGCAGACGGGACCGTACCCCATTTCTGCTCCCCTGTCACCGCCTGGCCACTTTACACCCTGGGTTTATCAAGCAAAAGCTAACCCTCCCGCCGTGCACCCTGTTTAGAAAGGGGGTGAACTGAAGGAAAAACAACCTTTAGGAATCTAAGGTTTCTTTCAGCCCCTGCCCCAAATTCTTCGCCATCAAGTCCCATTAGCCTGATCCCATTTGAAATTAATTCTCCCTCCAGGAGGCTGGTTCGTCTCTGTGAGCCCTCCCCTGGGAGAAGCTTTCTGCCCTTGCAGCAAAGGCTGTGTGAGCTCTCTTACGATCCGACCCACAGCTACAATTAACTTGAAGGCTTTAAGAAACCAACTGAATCGCTATTTCCTACTTCAACACCGAATTTGTGCTGGAGATGAACCTGGGAAAAGGGTGCCAGGCTCCCGCAGCAGATGTTTTGTTTCCCCTTATGAACTCTCAAGGCTTCAGAAAGCATTTCCTCCTCTTTTCTTGTTCTCAGCAACAGCCTTTTCATCCAGCGGTAACACAAACCTCACGCCCTTTTAAGAAGCCCGAAGGAAAGGGGACTGACAAGGCAGGGGAGTATCTGTAACCGGCAACGATCTGCTGCCAGACAACAATATACATGTTTTTTTTTTCCCCAATCTTATAAAGGCTGCATTGACCGTGTGCTGCCAGAGCGCCTCATTTGGGCTCTGTAAATGCACTCTCGGCAGTAGCCAGTGCACTCGATGGCGTTTTAATTTATTAACTGCTAGCCTAAAAGCTCAAGAAAATTGACACCTGGGCTGAGGAGAGGAAGCTGGGTTTGTCAGATTTTGTTCATCGTCCTCAAAGCACATGCAGAAATGTGAAAGACCTTTTGTCCATAAATCTTCCAGTCTTAATAAAAAGGGTGAGAGCTAAAAAAAAAAAAAAAAAAAACCCAACCAAAACCCCCCACAAAACCTGATACTACCATAAAAAAAGAAAAAAATAGAAACTTGGAAGCCTCTGGCTTTCCTTTCCTCCTGATTAAATGCAGATCACAAGAGCTTTTTATGGGAGGTAGAGACGTTTTTCAGTGCATCTGGTCCCCGGTATTAATCTTGCAGTCATGCTGTATTAATGTGCACCGTTTTCAGAGCTGGCCTGGATTGAACGCCACATACCTGCTATGATGACTGAGTCGGTTCGAGCAGGGCCGAATTTCAATGTCATCTCATGCTTGTGTTTATGAACCGCCAGGTGGTCCTCGTTTGTAAACCTCTGAAATGAAACAATTTAGAAAATCGTGAATAAATGCATTTTGTGTTTTACGGGTACATCCTGCAGCAGGGTGGGGGAGAGAGCCGCCCGGAGAGCAACTGTAACACAATCGCTGCCGAGCATTAAGCAAAACCAGAGCGGGACAGATTGTTTGAGAAGCGGTGTGTGAACACATTGCTCAAAATGAAAAAGCCATTACACGGGGCTTCTGGGGAACAGGGGACAAATATTTTTAATAATCCATTTTTTTTAAGCGGCGGGGCCACGCGGTGGCTGCAACTAATCTAGGAAATGCAAAATCGCCCCACTCGGTGAGATGCGCCGCTTTATTGCTGGCTAATGGAGGGATGAATTAGGCGCTATTAGGGGTCAGGCAACTTTTTTTGGATGGTGTGCGACAGAGCTGGCACCCGCCCGGCAATTCAGGCCGTGGTTTTATGGAGCAGGACGGAGGCGGCTGCCCAACGTCCCTGCCTGTGGCTCTTTGCGACGGCACGGAGCGGCCCGAAGCACGGCTGCCGTCGAACCCGGGGGGGGAGGGATGCGTTTCACGTGCCGTAAAGACGCTGTCTGAAATTCCACCTGCGGGAGAACTGCAGGATAAACACCCACCCGTGATGGCTTTAGGGATGTGCCGGGTGGGGGGCTCGCATCCCCCCCCTGCCAGGCAGGGCTGGGTGCACGGGGCCATCGATACCCAGACAAAAGGGCAGCATCGTCCGCCGCGGGGCTGCTTTCAACAGCGGCACCAGCCCCGAGCATCGAGACTGAGGAAAGCAGGGGGAGAGGCAGGGACGGGGTTAAAGCAAATAATCATAAAGACCCGAGGATGGATTGCGCCTCTCCTAATAGACTGCGACAAAGCGGGAGGCTGAGGGCACTGCACGGGCCGTACTGCAGGATTTTTATGCATCCAGGAGCCACGCAGCATTGGGCTTGCTGTTTCTAGAAAGAGCTGCTGCTGCAGCAAAGGCTTTCTGCCCTTTTCCCCTTCCTTTTTTCTCTCTCTTTAAACCAACCAACAAACAAACCAACCCAAAGCCACCTGTTTCTGCGAATTAGCTCAAGCATGACACCCCGGGTTCGCTCGCTCTTCCCGATGCTTATTTATGACTCAATTTTTTTTATCGAGCAAAGCTGCATTTTCCAGGCTGGAAGCCACGGCGGCGCCTTCCCGGGAGCTGTGCGGCAGGGGGGGGACGTTAGCAGAGGCAAGGGACAGCGCTGCCGAGACAACGGGCGCATCCGCACACGTCCCATCCATCTTCCCCTTCGGTGCAATAACAAGTGTATTATGCGAAGCATCCTTCAAAGACGTTGTATCAGAAGGTGCTTTTGGTGGCGACTCGTAACTGGGGCTCAAACTAAATGAAATCAGAGCTGGTGGGAGAAAACCAAACAGGTTTTTGCCCACATAACCCCAGGCACACACGCTCCGGCTTTCCCAGCCACTGCTGCCCGATCTGGTCCCTAACTAAACCTTAAATAAAATTTCTCAACCGTTTTTGCTAAAAATACACATGTTCTCGGTTTCTTTCCTCCCCGCAGCTTCCGAAACCCTCAGCTCTGCCCCAGCCCAAACGTGACTCATTTCCAAACGGTGTTACAAATCTCGGCGACGCCAAAACGCCACCGAACAAAGGAGAAGCGAGCGAACCGCCGCCGTTTTCCGAGGGAGACAAAATTTGCAGCATCGTTTTGCATCGCGCCATAAAGCGCTCGCGGAAGGGGGGACCGAGGAGAAAGGGTGGGCACCGGCACTTTGTCATATTTCTGGCCCAAAACCACCCTGGCTTTTAACGTACTCGGCTGCCAACCCCGCTCACCCCTTGCGACGCGGTGACGAACCGTTAGCGGAGGAAAATAGGTGGGTTACGGTAAGCGGAGAAAAATAAATCAGGTTTTTTGTGAGGACAGAGGAGCAGCCGGTTTCAGATGAATATTTAGCAGGCAGGCGGCCGCTGCTCCAGCGGCGTCTTGAAATACTAAACATGCAGAGACAGGGGGGAAAAAAAGGACAAGGAAGAAAATTCCCAATTTTCCGACTCCGTTTTGTACTGGGTAAAGAAATGGGGAATTTTTAGGTCAATGAGGGAAGCAGCAAGAGGACGAAGTAGGGAACGGGGTCACATTTCTCTCCCCTCCACGCTCCCCCCGCCAGCCCTGGCTCCACACGGGGCACGTTTCAGGCCGGCCTTGGTACCTCCGAATTTATTTTAATCTTTCATTTTGCTCCATCGCAGGATTTTTTTTTTTTTTTTACATTTTTTTTTCTACGGCAATTTTCCTGCTTTCGGTGTGCGTTACAGCTCTATTTAACATCTTTATGTGGTCTCGCTAGCTTGGGAGCTCTCTCTTTCTCTGCACAGAAATGCTCACAGACACAATATATCTTTCTACATACATTTCCAAACGCCGAAACCTAGAGGCTGAGTCTGGCACTTCAGTTCTAAATCATGTCATTTTACACAGAGAAGAAAGCAGGGGGGGAGAAAGGGGGAAGAGTAGGGGGGAAAAAAAAAATCAAATGAGTTAAAGCCACAGCACTGGCTTTAATATTTAATCTCCTTCCATCAGCAGCTGACATATAGCAGTGTTATTTCAGCCTGCTATTTTGCGGGTGTCTGAATTAAAAAGAAGACGTAGACTGTAAACTCTTTGGGGCGAGGGACAGGCGCTGGGATAACGCTGCCGCCTCCGCGCTGCAAATCGGCCCCGAAAGCGGCGGCGACCCTTCACGCTGCAATGGCGAAGGGCTGCGTAAAATAAGAGTTTAAACACTGCACGCAGCCCCGATTTCTGCTTTTCTCTCCCCCCACGATGGCCCTACGGCTGCCTTTGGTGCAGGGGACGGAGCAGGCGGATGGCATTTGGGTTTGGGTAAACACGGGGCTGGGTTTATTTATCCCAGAGACGGTAACAGCTTTTTGGAGAAAACAGATTTGAGGCAGACTAAGGCTGGCCAGTCTGCATTCTTTACTCAACAGGCTGTGACAGCTCGATGGATAAATGTGCTCGTTTAAAAATCTTTACTTAATAGGACACAATACTTCCAGCTGGACCAATGTGCCATCTCCATTAAAGCAAGTGCCAGAGAATAAATGCAGTAGGCTGAAGCCTGGATCTTTAGTCAGAAGGAGATTTTTCCATTGGTTTAATAAGCACAACATGAAAAACAAGGGGTTGCTCAGGGCTTTTTCCTTGCTTTTGTAAAGCCTACAAGTGCATTTGATGCAAAAGGAGGGTCAGGCGAGCGCCGAACGCACCGCATCCAACCTTCCAGTCGTGCAGGAGCCCAGGCGCTCGCTGGCTCTCCCAGCACCTCCAGCGCACAAGCTGCACGGCTATTTTTTAACCTTGACAGTAATTTTCAGAGAACATAAACACCGGCTGTGCACCAAGCCAGTCACCTGGCTAAAATTCAGTTTTAATATAGACCAAGTGTAGGCTGCAACAGCACAAACTGTTCCACAGGCGCACACTTGTGAAAAAGAGACTTTACCTTGCTGAAAGCACGAGCTCTGGTACAGTCTCACCAGACCCGAAAGGGGTGAGGAGCCAAACCTGTCTCCATCAAGCTCATCACACGGCTGAATTAATAAGCTGTCATTAATACGGGGAAGCCGAAACGCTGCTCCAACCTTAACTCCAGCACAGCGGTGTGTTATTCCGCCCACGGACACCACGGTACTGCTGTGACATGGTCAAAACACCTGGATACCAGGGGAAACAAAAGAAATAAGCACATGTCTTGCAACCGCAGTGCTAGAGGTAAATGACTGCACTAAGCGCTCCGGCGTGGATAAGCTGCGCTCAAAGTCACCGACTTTAAAAGGAGCCACAACAGGTTTCACTTCCAGAGTCCGTCCGGTCGCTGTGATGCCCTATAGCGAGCGATCGCAGTGCGATCAGCCCAAGACGAGGGGCTGGGGGATGCCCTGGGGTCCACCTTGCTCTCCTGGCACTGCCTCGGGCGAGGGGCACCTACCTCCTTCGTTTGGGGACCTCCCGGTGGGCAGGACACCCACGTGAGCCGGGAGACGCAGCGTGCGGAGAGCAAGGCCAACACCACGGGGAGATGCTGGACTTCCCGCACGCATCCCAGCCCACCCAGCATCCGACGCAGCACATCCTCCCCGCGCTTCCCGGCTGCGGCAGACCCGCTGCCTACGCCCCATCCATACATCTTGCCGTGACAGGGCTCAGATGGATTTCTAGTCGCATGGCAGGCGGGATAGATATTCCCCGTTCACTCGGCACAACTGCAGAGGTAACTAATGCAGGGTCACGGATGCCCCCAAGGGCTGGGTGCCCAAAGGTTAGCTGTTACGGCTGTGAGTGATGTGACCCCCCAGTTCTTGCGCAGATCTGGGCTCCATCTCACCCATTTCCCATCTGAGCAATGACAACGATAATTCCCTCCCTTGCAGAGAGGCTGTAAGGATTAATTCGCTAATGTGCATAAAGTGCCCCGATACTGGAGTGATTCATAGATTTTAAAGGCCGGGGGGACCATTACAATTATCTGCCCGGGACCACGTGAATCCCCAGATGGGCCCATTTCCATAGGAAAGGAGGTGTCACGAGACGACGAGGAGATAACGCCGCAAAGACTTGTTGGTTTGAAAGAATGCAACAATAGCACGGCCAAGCTGTCTTATTTTTACACTTACGAGAGCCGACACGCAAAGATTTCGGACCCGTTTCCTCTTGGAGGGTTCCCCGAAAGGCGGTGCTCACTGGGCCAGGTTTCAGAAGAGCTCGGAGCCCAGTTGCTCCCACTGGAAAGCTCGTGGCTATGTTCGAAAGCAGCCAAGGCACCGAGTCCGTGCAGCTCGAAGGTGGCCGCAGCAGCTATGGTTACCGAGCGCTTCTGGAAAGCTGGTTTCAGTGGCAGCATCCTTCCGCTAGAGGAGGGAAGAGACAGCACCTCCGCGAGCCTGAACGAGGATAAACGAGAAGAGGGAAGGTTTATGAGTGATCAGCTCAAGTAAAAAAAA